CTGTCTTCAGCTGTCACTATCAATTAAAAGGCAATAAATTACCAAAATAATAATAAGTACACGCTGAAAAAATTATCATTCCCACTAATCGTTAATCACATCACAATATCCGTCAAAGTAACAGCACCATATCGACATCGTGCAGCCCTACCCCCTTTTTTTATGAACCTTGGTGGAAGGGTATATGGCTAAATTAGCTAAATTCCTGTGCAAAGTGAAAGGTTTGCAGATCTGCACATCATAAAAGACTGGACTATTGGCCTTGGCGGAGGTCTGCACCAATTCTGGATGTGTTTAGCCTTAGTCTGTCTGAAGGGGTCTCTGATAATGAAATAACTCAGCAGGGTAAAGAAACTTGACCTAAAAAGTTCTTTCTTTTTGGCAATAGTCACGTCAAATAGTACAAATGGACACAGTTCTGCAGAAGCACAATGACCAACAGCTATGTTAAAAGAAGCTACATATGTCTCATATGTCTGTATAGCATTTCTATATTCATCTACATAAAACTCTGAAAGAATGTATTCTTTAAACAGTTAAGTCTGTATAGGAGTGTATTAAAGTGGATAAATTCTGCATATTAATAATAATCACAAGCTCTATTTTTTCCATAGAAATCTATTCAACAGTGCTAAATAAACCACACATCTCATACACCGATATACCACAACCAGCTCTTCTACTGCATCTTAAAGGACTGGTGTATGGCAATCAAAGCTGTAAAATAAACTTATTTACTCTTCATTTAGAAGATATTCTTTTATATATATTCTTTATAGTCTTTTATATAACACAGTGTGACACAGTGAAGAAACTCCATCAAACACTTTTCTGCAGGCAGTGCAGATATTCTGAAAACATCCACTCTGAAATATCAAAACACGCAGCTAAAGGTGCTTTCACCCTGAAAAAGGGCATAGGTTTGAACCCGGTTTGGGGAGGGGTTGTGGAAAGGCTTTCTGGGAAATATGTAGAAAAATGTAGAAGTAGACAAGTAAGCAAGCAAACAAAGAAAATATAATAATAATAATGATATTAATGTTATTTGAGATTTGGAAGATTCTGAAGAACTAATCTTCACCGGAAATGTCTTAATAAATATTCTCTTTATAAAGGTGAGACTGAAGGTGTGATGTCTCTATTTTAACAGCGACGATAGACAAAGATGTGCTGTCACCTCACAGGAGAACAAGCACAGGTCTAGTAGCCCAGATATCTGCTGGTGTGTGGGGGACTAACCAGTACTGAGGCTGACCAGGATCAATATATGAGCTGCTATTCTTTTTTTTTTAACATAAACACATAAAGGGTTGTCATTTTATTATGTCTGCTTAGAGCTCCCCTCAGGACTGTGTGGGTGTATGCAAACTGTCCATGACTGACATCTCCCTCACTGTCCTGTTTTGTTGCACCGTTTTTTTTTTAATCCCAATGTCCACTGAGCACTGAACCCTTTCACAATTAGCCAACATCACCTGGTAAGTGTTTGAGTGTGAGAAGGACTGCAAGGCCCCAAAACTGTAAAACAGGAATGTGAAAGCACTCTGCCACATATCAGTGACATATTTTAAAACACAAAGCATTTTATTCATTCTAGCACAGCATTATATTGTCAACATATTTTACCTATTTTATTATTAGAATTCATCTTTATTGTCTAGGGTTAAACCTTCTGGATTTTTTAATTGCCTGATTTACTGCCTTAGTCCCGTACAGTGTTGGGCAGTAACTCACTACTACTAATAATCTTACAGCAATTATATTACTTTCCCCAGTAACTAGTAGTGTAACTTATTACTCATACATTTCAATAATAATATTACAGTCACCCCCCAAAAATAATTAGTTAGAATCTTACTTTTGTTGTACCTTCAGCAGCTGGTAATATTCAATTACTTTTTTAAGATTTTAATAAACAAAACTGGATTTTAATCCTCGTAAATCAGAATTTTGGGTAGAAGGGCACAGTTGCCAATTTTGTGGGGAGTACCAGAAAAGTAAATGGTAAATGGACTGTACTTATATAGTACCTATCTAGTCTTTGCACCTCTCAATGCACTGTACACTACATGCCACACTCACCCCAGTCGCGCACATTCACACACTGATGGTAATGGCTGCCAGAACGGAAACTAAGCATACAGCATTCAGCAGTCTCTCTCAGCATCGGGAGCAATTTAGGGTTTAGTATCTTGCTCATGGACACTTCGACATGCAGCGAGAGGAGCCGGCGATTGAACTGCCTACCTCCCGATTAGTGGACGACCCGCTCTACCTCTGGGCCACAGCTGTCAAATCAAAGTACATAGTGAGGTGGGGGATGTGGGAACACAGACTTATGCTATGTCCCATTTTAAGGGCTGCCCTCTGTCAAATCAATTGTCATTTTATTCATTGATTTATTAAACAGCAGTGGTGCATATTAATAAACAGTTAGCCAAGAGGCTATTTTTATCTGTAGTCCCTGAACGTTACAAAGTCACCCTAAAAACTGCATAGATATAACAAAATAAGATAAAAATGAACACTGAATGTGCCATTCAGTGATGTGAGACATTTCAAAGTATCCCAAACCCAGCATGAGACAGTTTTGTTCTTTGAGCTTTGTCAGAGCTGCTGCTGGTCCTATGGCGAATCCTCTGCGGGCTGTCTGATTTATGGTGGTGGCAGAGGTTCAGCCCCCTACATCTTTGTAGACCACGTCCATTGAGGACTGTCCCCATTGAAATCGAACACTGCTTGTTGAGCTCTAGGCTGCAGTGTTATCAAGGAATCAAGGATATTTATATTAGTTTCATTATACAACACAGGGTTGAACGATGACATCAGAGTGTGTAGTCCCTTCATGCTTCAAATATAAAGATAGAAAATTAAGATTTGTATTAGAATAACATAAAATAAAATAAATATATATAACAATATACAGTTATTTATATACATATATACACATATACGCCCAGGAAATAATTCTGCAGTGCATTGTTTGAATTTTTGTCTGGTTGAATGTAAACTGCAACAAGACTTTGACTGCATTTGTGCACCAAGCATCATCGATGTAAACACAGAGTTCACCTCCCCTCATCCTGCACTCTATCGGCTCAGAACCGATCCTCCTGTTGAGTGCTTGATCCGGGAGCAGGTCTCTGTAAAGATGTGGGCACAACAGTCTCTGATTTCGCATTGTTTGGCCAGCCTCAGTCCCATTTCATCCAGACTGGACATTAGCCAGCAGCAGCCTTAAGTCCAAGCTGGTGTAGCATGGCTCCTATTCGGCTCTCTTCCTCTCCTCTTAGGGCAACAACACCTGCTGTGGTGGAGCTGGTCTGACTGATGTGGCTGGGTAGATCATCTCAAAGTCTGCTGCTCTTTAATCTTTAAAATTACAGTCAGACACAGTTGAGAGTCTGTCTGTCAGCTAGAAATACTTTTTACATAATGTATTGTCATTTCCATTCAATTCAATTCAATTCAATTTTATTTTCTATAGCGCCAATTCATAACAGAAGATATTCTTAGGACACATTTCAAATAGAGCAGGTCTAGACTGTACTCCTTATAAAATTATTTACAGAGAACCAAACATGAGCAAGCACTTGGTGACGGTGGCAAGGAAAAACTTAGTTTGAGAGGCAAAAACCTCCGACAGACCCCTCGGCTCTAGGTGTGTGGCCGTCTGCCTCGACCTCCTTAAATTTAGCTACACCACTGTCAGACAGGCATCTGCTGTAGGAAGTTTT